CCCTGATTTAGAGATTGTCACTGTGTGAGCAACAGCGTCTGGGCAGGAACTCTGATCTGAGCCCTAGTGTAGTGTCTGAACTTCAAGGTTGCCCTTTTTCTCTTGGATCCCAGCCTACCGGACGGAGATGGGCAGATGTAAGTTGTCACAGCTCTATTAACTTCAGTGGCATCACCCACTAAGAATGCCCTGGTTCCTGAGAGCTGGGTCTGGTTTGTTTCATAAGGAATGCAGAGGACCCAGTGCCGTGAAGGAAGGGCTTGAGCCCCCGTTCCATTTGAGTAGGACCTACACAAAGTATTGGGAATTGTTTTTATTTTTTTCTGCATGTAGAGTTGAAGTCCATTGCGAAGTGGAACACACGCTTGGCATGACTCTGTCTGATTCTCTCGTTTTAAAGACCTGTAAAGTGTGCAGCTTTGTTCGGATACCTGTTAGTCTGTCTCATGTGAGTGACTTTCCATGGACACTTGCAGATATCCAGAAGAACAGTCTAAAAGATCCCTTGTCAGTTCAACAGCTGCCTACAAAGGATGGTGTGGAGGTGGCATGTTGACTGAACTTTTAAAGCAAGTCTAGCTCTGAAAGGTACTAGAAAGGGATCACTGTGAAGAGACAAGGCTTACAGCAGGAGTGGAGAACCTTTTTCCTACCAAGATCTCTGACCCCCAGAAAAGACCAGTTGTGGGTGACGAACAGCCCCGGGGCTATGGGGAGGTGGGGGGATGCAGAGGCTCAGGGCTTCCCCACGGTTTTGGGATTAGGGTCACCAACTTTCCCAACCAGATAGACTGGAGGCCACAAATGCCAATGGTTTTTGGCCCATCTGGTCGGGAAAGTTGGCAGTTCTGTAATTGGGGAGCTCGGGGTGTGGGAGGGGGGCTCCAGGCTGAGGCAGAAAGTTGGGATGTGAGGGGGGGTATAGGCTCTGGGGTGGGGTTTAGGAAGGGGGGGATTGGGATGTGAGGGGAGGGGGGGTCTGGGATGGGCCAAGGGGTTTAGAGTGTGGGAGGGGGCTTAGGGCAGGAGGTGAGCGTACCAGGGTCTGGGTGGGAGTTAGGGTGTAGGAGGGGCCTCAGGGCAGGGGGTTGGGATGCAGGAGGGAGTGCGTGGCACTTACCTCCGGTAGCTCCCAGGTTTGGAAGTGTCCAGCATGTGTCCCCTGCAAGCCCGGGGGGGGGAGAGAGGTGGCTCTGTGCGGATGTTAACTTGCGGATGCTGCCCCCACAGCTCCAATTGCCCACCGTTCCCAGCCATTGGGAGCTGTAGAGGGGGTGCCTGCAGGCGATGGCAACATGCAGAGTTTCCTGGATGGCCACGAGCCAGCACCCGCAGCTCCAGCCCTGCAGGGGGCACCGAGGCTTGGGGCTTCCCAAGCATGGGGACTTGCTATGGGCCACGTGAAACTAAGTGGGGGCCTGGATCTGTCCCGCAGGCCAGGGTTCCCCAACCCAGCTTAGAGTGTCATTTAGATAAACCAGTAGCAAAAGCCATCTAGATGGTTCTGTTTCCCAACCGGGCTGATGAAGCTGAAACAGGAGACTCCACGCAGGTTTGAAGTGCAAGTCTGTGTACACAAGGCCTTAGACTGCTTCCTCCGTCTACGGGACATATGGCCTTTGATTTGCCCTCTTATCTCCACTCTCCTGTTCCCTGGGCCTTTCAGCTCAGAGCAGTGCTGACAGGAAAACATTTGTCCCTGCCATAGTTTCCTCTTCCAGCTTGAAGTTGCTGAGAGGCAGTGATCAGCACTGATCTGGCCACGTTTCCTGATGCTAGTGTCTGTGGATGCCAGTGTGTGTCCCTCTGTGGCCAAGTGGAGTGGAACAGCCTATTTGAATAGTAGCAACAGTAAGAGAAGAGGATCTGAGTCTGAAAGAGCTGCGGCTACTAAGCAGTTTGGTCAAATCAGAGATGATTCGTTCTAGGGGCTGGGCTTCTCAGCCAAATCCCTGACTAGTCCACTCCAGATAATCCCATCGGGTTAGAAGTTGGGCCATGTGTAATGGGAAGCAGCACATGCCTAGATCCCATGGGAGTCTCTTCTCAGGGATTGTGTGAGGGCCATGCAGAAAAGCTAACTATGTCCCAGCTAATTTCCCTGCTGTGTAACTGGACCCTTGTGTATCCTAATAGGCTGAGTTAAACCCTTTTTTTAGCAACCTTCCTTTGGAGACTTTGCTTTTACAGATTAGTTCTGTTTATTTCTTACAAGAACCAAATTCAAGTGTGAAGTTCAAAGCAGCCTCTTACGGTGTAAAATGAGGCTTTCATCACTGGGCTAATCAGTACTTGTGCTCAGTGCACCAGTTTTCTCAACTCAAGGCTGTTTTCACTGTGTCTGGTGACTAATGGAGGGCTCTCTGCACTCAGCCACCTAATGCTCAGGCTCCTGCTGGCTTAGAAATCTGCCTTTGACACAGGGCGCAGCCAGCGGGAGCTGCTGATGAATGAGCATCCACAGGGAACCACAGTCCCCGCCTTCACGAGTCCTCCCGCTCCTCCACTTGTGTGTCTTACAGAAGAGTTGGCTCTTGAATAAATTTCTCTCTACTGTGACTCGAGACTTAGAGCAGTCACGTTAGCTGGTGAGGGGATGGAGGTTTGCATCTCAGCAGCAGGGCTAAAGGGAAGCTTGCAGCTGTGATTGGAGGAGTATGAATCTAGCCTCAATCTGTGTCTAAGGGCTTCACTAGGGACCAGATGGCTATGAAGAATCTGTGTGAAAGTAGCAGAGCTGCAGCTAGTGTGACAAGCACTATGGACCAGGAAGGCAAAGAGAAGGGAGTGGTATTATTAGTGGGTTTTGATCCAATCAAAGAAACCAGCATAATTAATGACCTCGTAAGATTAGTACCGTGCTGTACAATTTGGCGAACTCTGCAGAATCCGACTGGTTTGGTTTGTCGCACAATTTTTTTACTCCCTTCCCTGAAAAC